CTTGTTGGAGGAGGTGCGCTACTAGGGATTTCCAAAGCCCATGTCTTTCCCAGTTAGCTCTGTCTGCCTGCTGCTGTGGCTCCAGATGTGAGCTCCTCCTCCTGCACCACCCTTACCTACTTTCTGCCATGCTCTCTGCCACGATGGTGATGGACTCCATCTCTCGGGAATTCTGAGCCCCAAGTTAAATGCTTTCTTTTATAAGCTGCCTTGGTCATGGTGTTTTATGACAGCAATTTAAAAAGTGACAAAGACAGATGGGAGGGTCTCTTGAGTAAGCACGAAGCCTCAAATCCAGACCCAGACTTAACAGAGCCTCACACAGCTTGTATGAGACTATAGACTCTGGAGGAGTGGGGGGAACTGGAGAGGTTTCGGAACACATGACCACATTCACTATTAAGAAGTTAAATGTTTAAAGAAACACCATGTTAGGGAACATCTGAATTCTAAGAGACCAAAGTCTTAACTAAAAGTGCTCTACTGAGAGATTCTCAAAACTACAGTGAAAATACTCTTTCCTAGGGCTGGAGAGATGGTTCAGTAGTTAAGAACACTTACTGCTCTCCCAGAGGCCCTGAGTTGGGTTCCCAGCACCCACACTGTGTGGCTCACAGCTGCCTGGAACTCTGCTCCAGGGATTCCATTGTCTTCTGAGGGCACTTGTACCCACATGCGCATACACAGGCATGGAAATACACCCTGAACAAAGGAACCGTTTGCAGGTTCTATAATTGCTTTGTGTTGTGTTTGCCTACAAGGTCAGCCCTATTAGAAATGAAAACTGTTTGGTGTGAGTCTGAAGACCCCTTCTCACAAATAACTTCTAGTTAAATTCCATTGTGATGACATGTATCTTACAAGGCTTGAATTCTTCACCAGCCCTTTAAATCCGATGGACCTCAAACGTGGCTATTTTGGTAAAGGTACTATTTGTCTTGGAAAAGAGAGTTTTCTATGAATGTTAGTGAGATCAAGTTAGCTGGTAATCACTTGTCTTTCTATGGCCTTGTTAATACTCCAAGTAACTGTTTCATCAGTTGAGAGAGAGATACAGAGACCGCCAAATGTTTTGAAATAAATCCAACCAAAGGCATGTAGACAGCCACATACCAGTGTCTTTTAAGATAGAAGAGGGCATCAGTGAACTGAAAGGGATGAATCACTAGGTGTAGCACTGAGTGCTTGCTAGATTGTTGCTAAGCCCTGCAGTACAGGCACTTATGTAACCAACCATTGTATTTATGCACAAATCTAGGGCCCTTCCTTCGGTGCTCCTGATGAATTTTGTGATGAAAGAAGTTGAAAACATAGACGAGATGAACCCACTTGAAAGAGAAGAATTGGCCCAGGAATCACAATCTTTGGGGATCCCCTGAGCTCCAATCACCAGTAGCAAGGTTGTAATATCATTAACCTTATTCCTCTCGCTCTGCAAAAGGTCACTTTATCTGTGAACCACGCATCCACACACTCACACAGATAAGAGGCCATTAACAAAAGCCTGACTGTTGGCTGCCCCACCAGTGCTATCTACCCCGACTAGCACATTTCCCAGCATTCTGTCACGAAGTCATTGGCAGTGTCAGTGTTGGAAAACTGCATGGCTCAGATGTTTCTAAACCCTTTTAATCCATGACAAAGGCCTCCATTTACTGTTGTTTTGTTTTCCTCTGCTGCCCTACAGCATGGCAGCTAGTGTGTGCTCCTGATAAGCAGCGGGCCGTGCAGACGAGGTTCAGTTTTCTTGTGCACACCGCCACGCAACCTGCCAAGGCCCACACGGGGGATGCGGCGTGGTTTCCCCTCCCCCCACCAGCAACCAATGCCAATGGCATCCTGCGCAGTGGTTCCCAGGCCAGATAACTTCAGAACACACAACTAATTTTTTTCTGTGTGACAAAAAATAGTGACATTTGTTTAGCATTATCTAATTTTTTTGGGGGGTGCTTTCTCTAGGGCAAATAATTTCATTCTGATAAATCGAGAGAGGGTTAGCAAACTCCTGTCCTATGGTTTGGTTTTTTTTGTTTTGTTTTGTTTTTTGTTTTTTTTTTTAAGATTACTTTTTTTTTCATTCTCTTTGCAAGTCAGTGAAGGTTAGAGGCTGCTGCTCCAGGAAACAATGCTACTCTTGACAAAAGAGGTCTCTGTGTGTGTCCAGGGGAGTGTGACAAAGGGGACAAGAGACCTGTGGTATGAATGGTGGTAGCCTAAGCTGGGTTGGGAAGGAACTGCTTAGAGGAATTGACAGCCAATGACTCCTTGGACTCTGTGACTATCTCCACTGCCAAGTTTGCATGAAGAGTGAAGTCACAATCCACACGGGAAGAGTCCTGAGCTGATAGAAGCATATGATGGGGTAGGGTAAAGTCAGCTTTGAGTACATACACTAAGGAATGTCTGGGGTAGAGGCCAACTCAGAATGCAAAGGAGAAGCCCAGTGACTCCAAGGCACTGTGAATCAAGCACCCTGAAAGATGGAGACATCTTTCTTGTGTAAGAAGTTAATGGCTGAGTTTAGATTAAAAGCCAAGAACCAGCAACATCCATCATGAAAGACTACAGTATGGGATATTGGAGGTAGGAGCATATACTTAATACTTAGCCATTTAATATTTACTTCATGGGCAAAGAAGCTCATAGGAGGCCCTAAGTGTTGATATCCAGAATCCATGCGTAAACAATGACACAATAGTAGTCATTGGTAGCTCTGACACAGGCCAGCCATTGGCCAGCCAGCCTCAATGAGCTCCGGGTTCAGTGAAAGACCCTGTCTTGAAAAACAAGCTGGAAAGAGATAAAGAAGACATCCAACATCAATCTCTACCCTCCACACTCCCTCCCACACACATGCATGTGACCTGCATACAGACGTGTACATACCCAACAGACACATAGGTAAGTAACTTAGAACATTCACCCAACTGCGGCATTTAAGTGTTGGGGTGTCTTTATCCTCACCTTTGATTCCCAAAGGAGCAGAAACATTTTTTAAAACGATTTCAAATGCTTTATCGCTACTGAAAATCAATATCTTTTTTGTTCACAGTGAGAGCTGTGCTTCTAAACTCTCAAGGCCTTTCCCATGCTTCTCGGTTTTCAACTGATTAAAAGATATTATCTTCCTATGTCTAGTGGAGACCAGGGAGCTGGAGAGGGTGGGCTAATTCTATCATGAAGATTTTCTTTTCCCAAGACGACGCTTCTATCAGCACACACTCTCGTTTTTCTTTCCTTCTCCAACCCTTGTACAGCCTTCACCATCACCTATGCCGCACTGACCCGGTACCTCCTGCCCTCCAAACAGCAAGGGCACAGGTAGCTAACTCACCACAGTAATGATATAACTGTAGTTTCTTCCCAGATTTGGTGATAGTGGGAACCCATTTTCTACCAAATCTTTGGTGAGTGGGCCCAGATGAATGCCTGTCCACCTGCCAATTATCCTTGCAAAATAGTGTTGGACGAGTGACTGGGGCTCCTCTGTCTTCTTGAGAGTTGGCCATCACTAAATCACTATGCCTCTCCTTCAGTTTGCTTTCTAATACATGCCTTTCCCAATCCAAACTTGCCCTACAATTTCATTCAAGCCTTCTATTCTCCCCCCACTTCCCCCATCTTCCCCACCCCACCCCAACCCTTCCCCTGCCATTTGCTGTCTGTGGCAGGTCTTCTGAACTTGAGCAATACCCAGAGAGCGCTCTCTCTGGCATACCTGGCTGTTCAGAGAGGTCTCACCTGAAAATGTTTCTCTCCTCATGAAACCACACCCAGCTATCCTGGAAGATCTCATTCAAGGCATACTGCTTAGCGTCTCTGATTGTCTAAGTCTGCCTCTAATACTGGAACCCAGTTCTCAGATCTCCCGCCTCCTTCCCTCCCCCTTCTTCATTTCTTTCCCTCAGGCAAATGTTTAATGGCCTCCTACTCTACACTAGGCACTTGCTTTTAAGGGGCCAGTTACGCCAAGGTCTCCTTCGTACAATGTTTACATAATACAGGGTAGAGCCAGACAGTAGAAACGTGAAGACTACCCAGCGTTTAACAATGGACTGATTGGGAGTGAGTGCGATGAAGAATGATCTGTGGATGCTATACATGGGTATCAGAGATGCCCTCTTTGGGAAGATGTGATGGAGATGACAAGAAGGGGACATGTACTCCACAGTTGACCAGAACATTCCAGTGAGGCAAATCTGCATGCAGAGGTCTTAAGATAAAGATGAACTGAAAGTGATCTTTTCCCTTACCATGTCTACACCATAATTACATGTGATATATATATATATATATATAATGTCAACAATACACACGCAAACATGTAGCATCATATGGAGGGCCACATTTTTTAGATGTTTACAAATTTTTTCTTCTGTTATGAACTCTCAATATCAGATTGTTATCCAATCTCACAGAGTCTCAGTTTATGTTTGAAAGAATTGAGTCAGAAACAGACCCAAAGTTCTCAGATGTTGTGGGGGAAAAATGGCAGACTTCTGGATAATAGGAAGCGAATTCATTCTTAGCAGCTCCCTGGACCAAATGATGCTTAAACCCGAGAGAGAAATTAATGCACAGCTCATCAAGATTTACACCTAAGCACACGCCTAGCTCTTGACTTTTCCTCATTAACTTTTATGGCACAAAGTTCTTTCAGCTGCCCCCTCTCACAGAATGACCCCGCATTTCCCATCATGCATTAACCAGCTTCCCCTAGCTCAGCCGAACACATCATAAAATTATTTTCAGTATGAGTGAGAAACACCTTTACATTTTATGACTCGTACAATAAAGAAACAAGAAAAATATGCAATTTATAAAATGATAATATGCTGTAATATGGAGCTTTTAAGTTAATGGGACATACAGGGAATGGTGTCATTAAGAAAGAGGGAGGGGTGAGGAGGAAGGAGGGAAGGGGATGCTTTATCATGCCTAAGTGCTGCAGCTGACAAGAACCCGGAAGACGCGGACCATGTACATGCTGTCAATTTATTCCTCAGAATTGCTAAATTGTCTGTACACACACACACGCACACACCAAGTAGGAGCATCACAGCTTACACAGGGGGCAACACAGCTTACACAGGGGGCAAGGACATGTACCTGCCTGTCTTGGCTCACCCCACCCCCACCTCTGCAGGCAGAAGTCCAGGGAAATGCAACCTGAAGAACCGGATTTCACTCAGGCCGAGTCACCCCAGGGGTGCCTTGTGGTGCATTAAAATAGCCTTTTAAAACTCTACACAGCACTGCATTGCCAGGGTTCCCTAGAGGAATGGAACAACTTCTAGCCCAGGTGAGAGCTGGGAAGTGGGCTGATGAGAGTTGGTCGGCAGCTCGGCGGCTCTGCGGCTCTGCGGCTCTGAGATCTGATCCAGCTTCAAGCCCGATGACTCTACACCAGGGCAGGTGCACAGCCTTAAAACTCCTCAAAATCGGGGGCAAAGAAAGAGACTAAGGAGCCCGGTGAGTTTCCTCTACAGAGAAAAATGATGTTGTAACCCGGATACTAGAAAGTGATGTCATGGATTCATTGCCAGTTTTTATTACCAGGATGGTGAAGTACCCATTGCATGGAAGCAGTGTTTCATGGCAATAAAGAGCATGGGTTCCCGAGTTAGGGTCTTCCTCCTTCACTTGCTAGGTAACTTTGGTGAAGTTACTGAAAGGAGCTGTTCCTCATTTTTCTAATGTATAAAATGGGAATATTGGCAATGCACGCCATGTAGAGATATTGTGAAGACAATTGAGGTGGCATATTGAAGTACTCAGAGACTTCCTTGGATCATAATGAGCACTTAGGCACTTTACTCTGAAAGGCAGTGGAAACCTACGTGTTCACAACACCAGATACATCCCTAACTCCTGTCTCTCCCTCCCTCCCTTCCTCCCTCTGCCCTCTCTCTCTCTCTCTCTCTCTCTCTCTCTCTCTCTCTCTCTCTCTCTCTCTCTCTCTCTCTCTCTCTCTCTCTCTCTTTCTCACACACACATCTAGTGTGATATGTACTGAGAAGAAATACATTTAGAACCAGAATATTCTATGAGAAAGGCTTCAGGAAAAAAATCACTGCTCATGAATTGTCAATATATTAAAATGGCTTTTTAAAATTCTACACAGCACTGCATTAGTCAGGACTCTCCAGAGAAACAGAATGGGACATACACCGATGATATAGCCAGTGCTATAGGTAGGTAGGGAGGAGACAGGCATAGGGGCTATAGGAATTACGATTATCGATGCACGGAACCCTGCGATCCCCAAGCTAGAGGACCCAGAAAACCAACACGGTAATTCAGTGTGAGTCCTGAAGCTGATGGTGCAAACCCATCTGAGCCAGAATGCCTCAGTGGTAAGAGCACCGAGGTCTCCAGAGGCAGGAAAATATGCAGGGCTCAGCTCCAGCCGAGAATTTACTTTCTCCTCCTGTTTCTTCTTTATTGGGGCCTTTGAGGAGCTGGTAAAGACGATCTTCAAATGCTGATCTCTTCTAGAAACATCAGAACAGACACAACCAGAAATAATAGTTTACTAGCTCACCGGTCAACCCTTAACCCAGTCATGCTGATGTGTACTATTAATGATGCAAATACTTTGTTGCTTTATGTCTCATCAAATAAAGTAACTCTCCCATTCTCTACGACTTCTCAAGCACACGCAAGCTCTGGCTGGCCAATTGTTCATCCACAAGACTCTGAAACGGCCTTGCAGACACACCCCATGGATGATAACTGTCAGCACCTAGTGAGGCCAAGAGGTGGGCATGCTTCAGTGCCCCACAGCCCTGTCACCTGGGGACCCACATCAAGAGTGCCTCTGCGTAAAATGCCTGGCCAACGCCTTCCCCAGTAGTTTTGAGGTACGCAAATCTGACCCCAATGGAACTAACTACACTCTCACTTTGCAAACAGACACACTGAAACTAATGAAAAGATCTCTTCAAGGCCATGTGGAAGAACCAGGGTTAGTCAAAAGCCATGGCTCAAAGGGAGACGATTGGAACCATGCAGAATCCTTTTATATCCTCTCTCTTCCTTCTCCAAAATTCAAAGTTTTTTATAATTTCATATATGTATAGAATATACTGTGATCGTATCTACTCCCATTACCTTTCTTATCTCCCTTCTTCTAGCCCCTTTCCTACATTAATGTCTTTTGGCTTGGGATGTGTGTGTGTGTGTGTGTGTGTGTGTGTGTGTGTGTGTGTGTATGGTATTGAGTTTAAGTAGCGTTGCTTGTATATAAACATGGGTTGGGGTTATTTACAGGAGCATGGGCAATTTACCAATGGCTGTACCACTGAAGACATGGTATCATTTCCCCTGGCAACCAGACCTGCCAATACAGCATGAGCCCCTACCACACTCACAATGGAATGTTGAAGGGCTCAGATTTTCCTGAGCCTTGTGCAGGGCTAGCTGTCAGAACTCATCAAAGAAACAAACACATTGACTTGGTGTCCATATGATTTTAACACAGCCCCGGGATCAGAAATAGTTTCCAAATATCTGAACCATCTTGCACATGAAGATTTCATCCCATTATGATGCTTTAGCTCAGAATCAATCTTGCCAGACTCCCCAGTTCATTCTTCTGACTTGAATGTGACTTAGAGAAATGCCTTCTGGTACACAGTTGATCAGCTATTGAATTAGTATCATATCATCCCTGAATAATAAAACTTCAGCTAAGAATAGCCAGTGATTGGGCTTGGGGAGTTGGGACAGTTAGTTAAGTATCTGTCATACAATCATCGGAACCTGAATTTGGATTCTCAACCCCCAGGTTAAAATTAGGGCACAGGGTAATACTCTGTAATCCCAACACAGAGGAGACAGATAAATCCCCAGAGCTTGCTGGCCAGTCAGTGTAGCTGAACAAATGAGGCCCAGCATCAATGAGAGGCCCTGACTCAAGAAATAAGGTATAGAGCTATCAAGGAAGATATCAGCACTAATATCTGATCTCCACATGCATCTCCCTCCACACGCATGCACAGATATGTGCACACACCTGCACAAACACACACATAAAGCACACACAAAAATATATACTGAGGAGGGCAAAGGAAGTGGGTAGGACTGATACAGGCCAAGGAAGGGTCTGACACAGCATGGTGCCTTTCCAGGCTTGAGGAAGACGTTGAATGCTATCTTCCAATTTTCTTTACCCATGGGAAATCTAGTGGAGTTAAATTCCCTTGGTTTCCCCTGGTTTGGTCAGTCTTTACAATCTTGGGGTTTGTCTGGTAGTCAATATGTTAACACTGGATAAGGATGAGTGTGTGTGTGTGTGCGTACATGCACACATGTGTAAGTGCATACATCATGCACACATTTGTGACAGTGAATGCAGAGACACACGTGGAGGTCAGAGGACAACTCCAGGTCTTGGTCTTCCCCTCCCACCATGAGTCAAGGTCTTGTTGGTGTTTCTCCACCATGTATTCCAGGGTAGTTGGTCTACAACTTCTGGTGATTTGCCTGTTTCCACCTGCCATCTCCCAGGAGAAGCAATAGAATTGCAGGCACTAGCACAATTCATCCAGTTCTGATGTGAGTTGTAGGGACTTTGAACTTGGATCATTGGGTTTGCACAGAAATTACACATTGAACCATCTCCCCAGCCCTGGATTTTTTTCAGTAGAATTCATAGTGTCAAAGCTTTGGAAACTCCGACACACAAAGAGCATTTCACAAAGGGAATTGACCAGCATCACCTAGTAGCATATCTATGTTCATCAGAGAAAGACAAAAGCTACCAACAGGTCCCTTGCTGTTGTCATTATTATTTTTAGTAGTAGTAGTAGCTTTTGAGACATGGTCTGGCTGTGCAGCACAGGCTGGCCTAGAACTCTCCATCTTCTTGCCTCTACCTCTTAAGTGCTGGGATTGCAATTGTAGTTCACTATGCATGTCTTCATTTCTTAATAATAAACAGAACTGTTAATTAGAGGACATTGATTGTTGGGAGGATGTATATGTGACTGGGCACCAGGTTAAACTTGGGGACTCAGTAAATGATACTATAGTCAGGAAGAGATAGTGTATATAAGTGTGAGTTGTGATATGGGATAATATTCTTGCTCATTGGAAAGATTTGTCACTTGTATTGGTTTAATAAAATGCTGATTAGCCAGTAGCCAGCCAGGAAGTATAGGTGGGGCTACCAGACATGGGGAATTCTGGGAAGAGGAATGGTAGAGCTGCAGTTGCTAGCCAGACACAGAGGAAGCAAGATGAGAATGCCTTACCGAGAAAAGGTAACAAGGCATGTAGCTAAACATAGATAAGAATTATGGGTTAATTTAATTAACAAACACTTCCATCTACAGAAGTTGAGCTGTGATATTTTGAGACTCACTCCCTTGATGCAGGTAAATGAATGATCAAAAAATGAGTTCTAAGGCTATGGATGTAGTTCAATCAGTAGAATATTCAGCTACCATGCACAAAGCCCTGAGTTTGACCTTCAGCACCTCCTAAAACTGGGGGACGTGCTACCTGCCTATAATCTCTGTATTAGTTGGATATTGAAAGATCAAAAGTTTGAAAACATTCTTGGCTGCATAGTGAGTTTCGAAGGCAGCCTTAGCTACGGAGAAAAGCCCTGCACCAATGCTGCTACATTATTATCATCATCGTCATCATCATAAAGTGTGCTTTGATACTTTTCCAGCAACACTTATGCGAAACTTATATTCCTAACAGTTTGGTTACTATGGTGCAGCCCAATCCATGGCCAGTGGAACCTTTCTAGAACAATTGGATGGACTGGCACAGGCACAGCTCGTTGGCTCCTGCAGGGACCTCTGTTTACTGCTGTCTGGACAGAACTTCTTCCAGGTCATCCCAGGCCCCTGCTCCTCCAGACAGAAGCCTTATGGTAGAAACATGCTGCTGTGTAAAAAAAAAAAAAAAAAAAAAAAAAAAAAAAAGCAAAAGGGCTTTTGCTGAAAGCCTTCCTTTGTCTGCCTTCCAGCCTCGCTTGCCATCTAAAAGAATCTCTACAAAGTTGATGTTTCCGTTCCTTTAATTCAGTGTTCAGGATGACACAGCCCCAGCCCAGCTGTCTCAAGAGCACAGAGTGTGTGTGTGTAAATGTTGCCAGTGTTCCGGCCTCTTTTCTTTCTTTGGGTCAGATGCAAGGCTGTCACAGTGTACGTAGTTATTTAAGGGGGATACTCAGATGTTTCCTTTCTGTGGCGGCAGAGATCTTTTCAAGGGAGCCTCTTTATTCCTCTGACATTTCCACTCTTGAAAAGCTGACCCAGTTCCCGCAGAATAACAAAAGCGGCACACAGGGAAAACAGATTCCCCTGAGGGACTGATAAACCCAGGTGAACTCTGGCCAACTGAGTTCCCCCTTTGAGAACCAGGCTTGCTGCCAGGAAAGCCTAGGCAGACAGAAGCCTCTCAGAGATAATGTGGACAAATGATCTCTCTGCTCTCAGCTGTCTCTGAGAATTTGTCTCTGAGTCTGTGGGGAGGGGGTTTGATCAATCACATACCCAAGTTCGTTCTCCCTCTCCCTCTCCCTCCCTCTCTCCCTCCCTCTCTCTCTCTCTCTCTCTCTCTCTCTCTCTCTCTCTCTCTCTCTCATGTGATCTACCAGTTGCCTCCCTCTAGGCCCTAATGACACACTGGGGCCTGTAGATTCAGCCCCCCCAGATTCTGAGCCACTGGAAACAACAGAACTTGGACCATGTCTCGTGTACCATGGGAATCAGCTTCTGGAGAAGGCAGCACAGTTTCAAATCCAGAAACAAGAAAGGGCTAAAGGGAAACAGCACTGACTCTGTACAGCCTGTACAGCTCACACAGCTCACACAGCTCCAAGCACTGCAGCGAGTCATCTAACAGTTACTCAGAAAATTCTGGACAGAAAGTGGTCCCCTTTTCAACTGTGCGTACTTCTTTTTTACAGATACAGTATGGACAAACAGCTCAGCTTCTCTTCCCCCTAACACAACTAGAAAGATATTCAAGTCACACTTCCTTCTTCTCTGTCTGGATTTTAAAGCCATGACTGCTTTGTGCCTGGCCTACAGTCAGCCTCTCTAAGGTCAAACAGTTTTTGGGTGGTGTATTCGAGGAGATAAGCCTTACCTAGAAACATGATCTTCACATCGCATTCAATGACCCCACGGAGGCAAGCATTGGACTGGCAGAATTTTTTCTGTTTCCCTCAGACTATAATCTCTAGCCGTTCTGTTTAAACCATTCATTGCCTTTTTGTAGTTGTTTTTGTAGTTTGTTTGTTTCTTTGTTTACCTAACCGTTCAAAGCATGGCTTCTGGGAGTGTCTGTAGGCATCCCCCTAAGGGCTGGGAGAATAAAAATGACTCTGATCATCACATGATTATTACGTCACTGGGAACAGAAGTGCCTCCAGTGTGGGAGAAACACAGCTTGTTCCACCAGGGAAGACCAGGGAAGTATATGAGGTCATATCCACACACTGGTGTGTGTGTGTGGGGGGGGCTGCATTGCAAGTCTGAAAAGCTTCCTGAGCCATGGCATAAGGCTGACCCTTACGAACCCCAAAGGGCCAAGAGAAGCTTCCTAGCCTCAATGCAGCTCCACAGTGATCAGGGATTGCCACGCTGTCCCCATCCCCTGCCACTCTCTTTTGTGTGAGCCTACTGAGGAGAAAAACACATACATTTAGCACCCTCCATGTGCCAGGCCCCACTACTGCTTTCTCTATTCTATTCCTTTGAAACCTCAGAGTAGACATGTGACACAGGCAGCGTCACCCTTACATTTCTTAACAGCAAGCATAGGTACAAGAGAATTAAATTACCTGGCCAGCATACAGAACTTATATGTAACCATCTTTGTCATGAAAGATGTACGGCTTAAGCATTGGCACAAATGTGTGGGAATTCACTGTGAGTCTGTACTCTAGATCTAAAGTAGAGATACAATATGGGGTAACCCTGGCAACGTCCCTACTCTTGCCTAGCCTCAGTTGACTTCTTTGCAAGAGAGGGATAATAATAATTTCACTGGCTTACTAGTGCTGGATACAATATTATTGTAAGAGCATCCTGCACTCCTCCCCTGGTATAGCAGGCACTTGGTACAGAATGCCATCATAATGCTGAGGCTGAGTACGACCTCTCTCCAGCGTCACTTCTACACTTTCCTTTTCTATTTTGTCAGCCCCACCCTCAGTATCAAATATCTGCTGACTGTTCAATGTCAAGGTCTAATGGAAGATGAAAGGACAGCTTTTAAGTATGAGCTGCCAGTGAGGGCGTATAACCTATGCCAGTAAGGGCATGTAACCTATGAGATTCTCTCTCCTCTTCCTCCCTCCCTCCTTCCTTCTCTCCCTCCCTCTCTCCCTCCCTCTCCCAGATTAGCAGCTATTCTGAGGCTTGGAGGACAAATGAGAATAACTTCTCTTTACTTAGTGGCATAGGCAATAATCCAACAAAGAACAATATAGAAATTTAAAAGGTGGAGCCAACTGAGCATGCCTTAAAAGCCAATATTCAACAAACAATTAAGTGCTGACATAAGCTAGTTAATGGACCAGTTACTGGTCATACAAGGAATCCACAGCTCTACTTACAAAGAGGTGAGAATCAAGTCAGGAAGCCCAACAATGTGCAAGTTCAGTGTTTGGAGATGCAAAACAACAATAATAAAGGGTTGGAGAATGAACTGGGGTGTGTGGAAAGTGCAGGAAGTCTAGTTCTCGTGGCCATCACTACTCTCTAGCACATGTGCCTCGGCAAGAGAACATGGTTTTGGAAGAGCCCTGTTTTCACCAGGCAAAAGGAGTCTAGTGGCTGGAGGTTCAAACCCTTTACTCCAGTTTCCTAGGCAATGCAGCTGGTGTGCAGACAGCCCACGGATGGTGCTGAAGATACTGCCAGGGTGTCCACTGGCTTTCAAGGTGTTCTTGACTGAGCACCACTGACATTACAGAGACGATCATTTCCCTTGACCATTTGTCTCAATCTATTTCAATGATTCCCATCCATGTTACACACAAATAAAAGCTAATGCTTAGTTCCAAAGAAAGAAAGGAGGGAGGGAAGAAGGGAGGGAGAGAGAGACAGGAGACAGAGAGAGACAGAGAGAGAGAGAGAGAGAGAGAGAGAGAGAACATTTTAAAATACGATCAAGGTGGGGGATTAGATTTGTCTTTGTTCATTCAGGTGAGGGTTAAGGTGACCATCAGATGGAGAGATATATAGCAGACGGGATTCCATCAAAGGAGCCACTAGTGTCACTCAAAGGGAATGGGGTTTGCCAGGCCATAGTGAGTGGAGGAAGGAAAAAGCCACATTCCAGGTCAGCAGGGCAAATCTAAACCTTACACGGGAACTAAGAAAACTTGGATCAAAAGTGAGCTGATTTTTATTTTTCTTCTTTCAAAGCTATTTCCATATCTAATAAGGGTTAGTTATACACACAAATATGTAGACATCTTTTCTCAAGTCTATGAAACGCTACGGAGATTGAAATGGCAATGCATCAGCACCCCCTGGGTACCTCTTAGCTTCTAATACTTTTGTCTTTGCAAATGCAACAAACATTCTGGAGCTCGTTTCTTAAGCATATTGCTATGCAATAATTATTTTGATAGACAATGTGGAGTTGCAGGACATAAGAGTGTCCTCTGAACACATATGTGCAGAGACTGACACAAAAACTGTACCTACAACTTGAGAAAAAAAACCTTGAGCAACCATATAAATCAAAAGATGAAAAAGAGCAACCAGCGTGGGGTAAATGCTGCATATAAATCTTTGCATTACTGCAAACCTCGAAGGCACTGCAACTACCCTCAGGTGCTTTGGAACTATTCCAAAATGCACAGTTTAGTTAAATGTGCCTATCCAGATGTCAAAATGAAATTAAAGCCTTCCTTGGACTCCAAACCAGAGAATGCTGCAACAACTCTACATGGCCAAGTCACTTCTTCAAGTGTTTAGTGCCGAATGATGGTCCTGGGGAATGAATTCCAGAGAAGTCTGAAATGACTTTAAAAAAAAAAAGAGTGATCATTGCAAGAGAGGTCTCTTCCCAGGTAGATTTAAAGTCTTCACAGACATCCAGAAACAAGAATCACCTCAGGGAGATCTGCTCTCCACCTCCACTTTGTTGAGGAGCTGCACCCTGACTCCACGGGGAGAGAAGAGGCTGGCAGGGATACACTATGATAAGAAATTAGGTTAACTCAGATACGATACCAACAGGAAGAAAAAGGCTAAACATGGAATGCATTTCCAAAAACACAAAACAAAATAGTATGAACTGGCCGGTCCTGAAAATAGGATGGACTCTCTCTCAAGAATGGTTGAGGCTAGGAATATATCTCACTGTGCACGCCTGTCTGACACACACAAAACCCTAGCTTCAACCACCAGGCTGAAACAGGCAAACCAGAATAAAACTAGCAATATAAGATAACTCAAATTTACTTGAATCTTTCCACTGAGGACCAACTGGAACCCCATTTATTATTGGTTGCAGAATACTGATTTAGCCAGACACCCGTTGGTATCTAAGTGGTTAGGGAACTGAAATGATGGTGGACTTCCAGCCTTCAGCTGTCTAACCTACTAGGTCTACAGGTGTGGTCATTTTAAAAAATATATTTTTTACTAATTTTTTAAAAATTTCATGCATGCATATAATGCATTTTTATTATAAATCTCCCTAAATCCTTCCAGATCCAACTCCTATCCCCACTGCCTCCCAACTCCATGTCCTGTTTCATTTTTATAACCTACTGATGCCAATTGTGGTACTCATATACTCACAGTGATGGGGCCACATACTAGATAATGGTCTATCTACCAGGGCCACACCCTTAAGGAAAATTCACTGTCCCCTAGAACTGCCCTCAGCTAGGGAGAAGTC